GTTGTAGCCCCCATGGCTGTAGTCACCTGCCCTCCCCTGTTGTCGTAAGTATTCCACATTGCGGTGCCGCGCAGCGCTCCATGTCCCGCAGGGTGGTCCAGCTATGATCGCGGCGACGCGACCGCGTAGGAGCTGGACTCTCCAGAACTGCATGGTGTCCCACCTCGTGAGGTATCCCGTGAATTCGCCGTGAGTGATGTCAATGGACAGTGTTATGGTGTTGTTGTCGTTGGAGTTGAGGGGTTCTATCCACTGTTGTGCGTCACCTCTGCGTCTGTGCCCACTGTTAGAAGTCGAAGTTCCTGTGGGTCTTGGCATGGGCGCAGGGTTGGGGCTTGCTTCCCGTGGTGATGTCGCATGTATCGGGAGCTCTCTTGTAGCCTCGTGGCCCTTGACGTACAACGGCGTGATGTCCGTCCTGCAGCTGACGATGTGAGCGTGGAGCGGAGGTAATCCCGCCTTGATGCTGTTTCCTTGCGCGTCGCGCATGGCCACGCTGTTCGCTTCTGTGGTTGCCTCGTCATGCCTGTCTGCGTCGCGTTTCCATGATGCTGCGCATGCGGTGAACGCTAGTGAGCGTTTGACGAGTCGTCCACACGTGTGGTATTCAGTGGTGCATGTCAGGCATCTCGTTCCGTGGGCCAATCTAGTAGGGCGGTCATCTGCCGGGTGGTGCTTTCCCACGTGGACGTAGATGGTGCTCATCTCGGTGAAGGTGGCGCCACATTCGTAGCACATGAGCGTCGTGTTGTTGTCGGTCATGAGCTGTGGGACGAGGTCGGTGTTTTGGTAAGGTCGCAGGCTGTTGTGCCATTGTCGTTGGGGCTCTTGGTCTCGGTAGTTTCGTATACTGCGTTGCGTCGCCGTCTTGACCTGCGAAGTAATGACTTGGCGCGCCCTGCGCATCGAGCTGAGGACGGGGTCGAGGTCCACTGGGGCGCAGCTTTTGCTTGTCGCCGATGTACGTCCACATCCACTGTACGTCGCCGTATAACACGTGCCCCCAAGACGAGTTGCGGCCGAGGCTGACGTCGATGATTCGTAACAAGATGGTCGGGGCATGTTGTAGGAGTCGCTGTAGATATCGTAGCCTGAAGATGCGCATGGCGATGTGCGAATCTTGTCGTTTTACTTCGGTAAGTACCTTTCCGTCGTTGATCTTTGGTCGCCGTAGTTGTGGGCCTTGCATCCAGCTGCCATCCTGTATCCCTTAAGGTACTCGGTCTCAATGGCATAAAGCTGCCCCTGGTTGAGAAGGTTCCAAGTATGCGAGCTGCAACAGAGGACCGAGTTGGCGAGCGCGTCGTTGAGGAGGGTATGTTTGTCGATGCTCAGCTGTTTTCGCTTGTGAACCTCCTTGCGCAGTGGGGCTCTCTTCGTTATAGCCATTGAAATTGCCCGCTGGATTTCTGGTCATTGTCCCCTGTTGTATATAGCGGCACCTAACGAGATCTGGTGATTGACGAACTCGCTTGGCCCCCTGAGGTGCTTATTCTCGATGTGCGTGATGCTGTTTCTGGCGAGTTGCTCCTTGGCCGTTCTGCTCCGGCGTCCGCGCAGAGGTAGCATGGCCTTGGTCTTTCTGGCGTGGAGTCGCATGCCGCGCGCCATGGCCCGTTTGATTATGATGTCGGAGAGCGTCTTCGCAGCGCGGATGTTGCCAGGCAAGGCGTTGCGTCGCACGCGGGCGTAGGCGTTCATGTCGTCAACGAAGGAGGTGTCAGTGATCTGTGCCCCTCCGTCCTCACCATCTCTTGCGCGTCTGCCCTTGGGGAAGATGTCTCCCAGGTGCCCTGTGCCGATGTCGATGTGCAAGCTGCCGTCGGATGTCCTCCGCGATATGGCGCATAACCTTTGCGAAGGTTAGAGGTGAGGTCTGATGCTGGTACTCCAGGCCGGTCGCCAGCACGGGGCTGCGCCATCCTGGTGGATCTTTTCGTGGTGGCCCACATGTCTGAGTGCGCGTCATGTAATGAGGCGCAGAGGTGCTCGTCGCCCATGTTGTGGTTGAATATCGGCGCTCTTTTCAATGCCATCTGCAGCACAGGACGAAATGGCGCGGGTACGTTGACGTCGTGTAGCAGGTCGCTAAGCTCCTCTGGCGAAGACAACCTGCAGTACGACTCTGTAGCAGGCGCCCTTGAGGTCCAAGAAGAGGGTCATAGCCGATTCACCTCTTTCCCTGAGGTATTTCGTTACGTCGAGGGTTGCATGTGTGACGAAGTCGGTGGACTGGCGCGGTCGTGCGCCACATGGTGCGTCTCGTAGTAGCTGCGCCGTGATATCCTTGAGTCTGGTACGTAGGAAGCGGTGGTGGTGCTTAACTATGACGTTGCTCAGTCGCATCATCCGTGTCGCTTGCAGGTTTGGTTTGGTAGCATTGGGTTTCGAGAATGACGTTTGCCATCCTCCCTTGTGGGGGAGTGGTTCCACCGTCGCCATTTGCGCCTTGACTAGGAGTGGGTGGTAGATTCTCGTCGCCTCTTCCGGCGCGATCTTGTAGTAGTCGCTGATTGGGTTGACAGGACCGCCGCCCCTTCCTTGCTTCGCTCGCGTGAATTGGCGCTTCGCCTCTTCCTTGGCGATGATGTTGTGGAGCGGTGTGTCGTACACGGTTCGGATGGTGGTTGCGTAGTTGGCGTGGTGGCTGCACTTCTCGGCGATGTCTTGCGGGCTCGTGTTCTGCGGGCTCACGCCCCTCTACAATTACTCAATATGAAAATACTCTCCCTCTTCCCCTGATGGCGTCCGGGTGATGGCCGCGCACCCTCCGCGTACTGTTTTTTTACACACAGGATGCCCGGGAAATCCCGGGAAACGACTCTCGCTGAGGCGCCGGCGTCATTTTTTCCCAAAATGCTGCTATCGTTGAGGCGCCGGCCTCATTTCTGCTCCCGAATCGTTCCGAATCGTGATCCCGCTGCAGCGTGGGCCTCATTTTCGGATCGGTGTTTGGCCTCCGTCGTTCAGGATGGCGTTCTCGCCCCAGCGCGGGCCTTTTTCTCGCGCGCCCATCCGCCCGCCACCACCGCGCCGCACCGCCACCACCACCACCACCACCACCACAACCACAGCACCAGCACCAGTACCCACCACCACCACCACCACCAGCACCACCACCACCACCAGCACCACCACCACCACCCACCACCACCACCACCACACCACCACCACCACCACCACCACGACAACCACGCACACACGCACGCACGCACGCACGTGCACCACCACCCACTACGCACGCGCGCGCGGAGCCACAGGTCCGCTACGACACGCGTCCGCGGATAGAGAAAATCAGCGCCATGGTAAGGGATGGGAGGGAGGGGTAGGACGTCAGATATGACGCGAGCGCGCCTAGCTTGTCCTCATCCTCCTCCCCCCCATCCTTTTCCTCCTCTTCCTCCTCATCCGCCAACACGCGGTGGGGCGACGAATACAGGTGGTTCTTTCACGACGCACACTGGCGCATACACCACGCGATGCAATGCCAACGACGCGAGATGGCTTGCAGCTAAGACGGTCAAGACATGGTGGAACTCACTCGACAGCGCCTTGATCACCGTCGGACAGCGCGAACTGTCGCATACCCAGCCAGCAGTAGCGGCGACAGAGCCGACCGGACCACGAGCACCGACCACCAGCAAGCAAGCAAACACCCCATCACCGACCGCCAGCGCCCTGCGCCATCACTAACGCCAAGCCCAGATCAGACCACCTGCGCCGACTTTAGATCGACTAGCAGAGTTAGCAGCACAAACCAAACCAACCACCCAAAGTCACCCACCACCACCGCCGACCACCATAAACCATCCCCACCAGCACCGCTCAGCGGCGACGAACACGCCCACCTAGCGACACGGCATCACCGACATACGAGGACATCGATTACAAGGATTCCGCCGCCACACGCACAACCTGATGACATCCGAGTTAAACCAATGCTGCCTACCAAAAGCACGGAAAGAACAACGCAAAGAAGAGAGGAGGGCAGAGAGCAGCGACGTCGACGATGGCGGACCAACGGACTACCCTCTGAGCGAGTGTTCCTTGAAAGCCCTCACCATCTCACGGGGTGGAGGAAGGGAGTCATGAGGCACGCTACGTGGAGCTGCTCCACTCCTCTTCTCCAGACTGTCGAGGGTGAACGATGCCTGGGAGGGGGCGCGCTGGGCATCCCAGCCTGTGCCCAACGAGCCCCATGAAAACTCATAGCTTGAGCGGGCTCTGGCCAGAGAGGATGGCGTGAAGGAGGCGGTTCTTGAAGGGCACGGGTCCTGAGTCGCAGGGCCGTCCCCTGACTCCAAAACTGCGTCCTGAGTCGTTTTCTGACTCCCTTGGGGCTCATTGACGGCCCATGTACGGCGACGAAATCTATACAGATCCCTGTTCCCTGGCCAGGCACATCCTGAACCCAGCAGCGGTGTATGCCCCACGCCCTCCTGGCTTGGCCAGGAGGGCGTATACCCCGCTGCTGGCTTCCGGATGGGACTGGCCAGGGAGCAGCGGATCTGTACAGATTTCGTCGCCCGGCTTGCGACGCCCAAATCGGGGAAAGTCATCAGGACCCGCGTAGACACGCTAACGGCGACGTAGGTAACGGCGATGTAGTTTTCGGTATTCCAGGTAGGGGGTGGTTCGTGGGCAACCCAGGAAAGCGTTGTTTGTGGTTTCCTGCAATATGTTCTGCGCGAGTTCGGCGTCACAAGAACCATGTTCCCAACGTCGCCGTTAACCTTGGCATCGCTCGGACGTGCGCATTGTTCCTCGGCGAGGGCCATCGAGGAGCATCTTGGACCATCTTCCGAAACGAAGCAATAAGCACACGAGATCGAAACATGCACGGGGAATGGACGTCCGAGCGATGGCAGGTAACCAACATCGCTGTTGGCGTGGCCTTGGAGGGTAGAGCTCAGGGGCCCGCCCCTCGTCGCTGGGCCGAGGCGGCGCCGACCGAGGCCTGGGCCGAGCGGGCGGGGCGGGGGCGCGCGGCGCCGCGGCAGGCCATCCTGGAGATGGCGGCCGTGCTGCTGCCACCCGCAGCCTGAGCGCCTCCTCCTCCTCCTCCTCCTCCTCCTCCTCCTCCTCCCTCCTCCTCCTCCCCTCGTCCCTCCTCCTCCTTCTCCTCCCCCCTCCTTCCCTCCCTCCCTCCTCCCTCCCCCCTCCCTCCCCTTCTCCTCCTCCTCCTCCTCCTCCCCTCCTCCTCCTCCTCCCCTCCTCGTCATCATCCTCCCCTGCTCCTCCTCCTCCTCCTCATCCTCATCCCATCCTCATCTCATCATCATCATCATCATCATCATCATCATCATCATCATCATCATCATCATCATCATCATCATCATCATCATCATCATCATCATCATCAGATCATCATCATCGTCCTCCTCCTCCTCCTCCTCCTCCTCCTCCACCCCCTCCTCCTCCTCCGCATCCTCCTCCCCAGCTCTCCCCCTCCTCTTCCTCCTCCTCCTCCTGCTGCTCCTCCTCCTCCTCCTCTTCCTCCTCCTCTTTCTCCTCCTCGTCCTCCTCCTCCTCCTCCTCCTCCTGCTGCTCCTCCTCCTTCTCATGGCGGCGGACGCGTGTTCGCCCGCGCCCCCCTGTGCACAATGGTCGGGAACCGGTCGACACCTCCGCCTCTCCTCTTAGAGGGCGCGGCATCCCCGGGGTTGGCCGGCTGCCTCAGACAGCGGCCACTCCCAGGGGGGAGGGGTCGACAGGCCAGGGATTATAGAATCCGCTACACGGGAACATGGCCAGCTCCGCGAGGAACCGGTAGCCCACGGCGGCCTCGCCCGGCAGCCGCGCGGCGCTTGCCGCCCAGCCGGCGCGCTGGCCCCGCTCGCCGGCCGCGGCGGGCGCGCGCGGCCCGGCCAGCGCCGCTTGCACAGCGCTGCAGGAGGAGGGCCGCCCAGCTCTGCGGCCCAGCTCTGCGGCGCGTTGCCCGCGGTCGCCGGCTGCGCCCGCGCCGCCGGGGTCGCCGCCGGGGCCCGCCAGTCGCCGCGCTGCGCAGGCGGGCAGGGTGGCCGTGCGACAGGACTCCGCGTTGCCGCGCTGCAGCGCAGCGGCCAGGCTCTGCCGCGCCGCCGTCAGCGTCGCCGGGTCGCCTGCCGCCCAGCTCCTCAGCAGCGCCTGCGCCTCCTTCCCGGCGCGCCCCAGCGCTTCCACGGCAAAGGCGACCAGGGCGGGGCTTGGGTAGCGCCGCTGCCGCCGCGGCCCCGTCGCGCGCGGCGCGGCTCCGCCCGGCGGCTGTGCCCGCGCCCAAGGACGCGTCGGCGATCACCACGTCGGCGTAGGTGACCCCAGCGATTGGGTCGGTGAAAGCCACGTCCAGCCGCGCGGCCTCGGGGGAGCCGTCCGGGCGCGTCCTGTCCCAAGCGGGGACGAACTGGTCCGTCCTCACGCCCGCGGCGCCCCGCGCCGCTAGCCAGCGCGCGAGCCAGTCCCGCACGCCGTCGTGCTTCCACCGTGCCACCCCCGATTGGGCAATCCTCCTCCTCCTCCTCCTCCTCCTCCTCCTCCTCCTCCTCCTCCTCCTCCTCCTCCTCCTCCTCCTCCTCCTCCTCCTCCTCCTCCTCCTCCTCCTCCTCCTCTTGCGTCCCGATCCCTGATAGCGTGAGGAGTCTCCGACTGCCGCCCTAGTGGCAGAGTCCAGTGGTGGCAGAGTCCAGTGGTGGCGACGGGGGAGGGGTCCTCGGTGACAGATCCCGAACGGCGTGGAGGGGGGGCCACCGAGGGGATCCCGAGGGGGGAGTCCCATCTTGACGAATTCTTTTGGGCGAATGCCCAGATCTACTCCGGGGCGGGGCGCCCAAGAGGGCAAGAGGGAGGGTGGCCCGTCTGAGGCGGTCAGAGGCCGTTGTCCAGCAGGAGGCCGTTGTCATGGGCCCCCAGGGCGACCACCAGCAGGCCGCTGTTGCACAGCAGGGGTGAACGGCGGCATGGTCAGGTACTCGGCGTTCTCGTAATTGTAGTCATGGTCGTCGTAGTGGTGCTGGTCGTGGTTGTAGTTGTGGCTGTGGGTGTGATCGTACATGTGGTCGATGCTGGTCACGGCTGGGGCCTGGATGACGGTGTACGTGTCACTCGTGTTGCTCTGGGTCTGGCTCTCGTTCTGGTGCTTGTGGACTGCGGCCCCGATGGTGGCCGCGCGTCGGCGTCGGGCCTGACACCTGGCCACTGCAGGCCGCCACAAGGCCGTGTCTGCCGCGCGGCTCGTCTTGGGCCGCGACGCATTCGGACAGCCCTCGTAGCTGAACCGGCACGTCACCGCGGGCTCCGCGGCCGCCATCGCCGAGCAGGGCGCCGCGCTGGTGGCCGCCCGCTGGGGGGGCTGGGCACAGGTGGCGACTCCTCCTCCGCCTCCTCCTCCTCCTCATCCTCCTCCTCCTTCTCCTCTTCCTCTTCCTCCTCCCCTTCATCTTCCTCCTCCACCTCTTTCTTCTCCTCCTTCTCCTCGTCGTTCTCCTGCTACTGCTCGTCCTCGGTGTCCTCCTCCTCGCTCTCATCCTCTTCGTTCTTGCCGTTCGTTTCCTCCTCCGCCTCCTCCTGCTCCTCCTCCACCTCCTTCATTCCTTGTCTTTGTAGATCGATCCTCCTTGTCCACACCGAGGCCGGTCGTAATGGCGGGGCGGGCGTTTCGCTTCAGACTGGCTCACCATCTATGATCTTGGAGGTCAAATGTGGCTTTGTGGTTTTCTAAATGCGGTTCTCTCCTCAACGACGCGCACATTCGTTTTCAAAACGTGCAAGATATTCACGGCTTGAGGGCGGACGGTTTTCAAAATGTGGTTCTCGCTTGTGCGCCGCGCACACCTGTCTTAAAAAATACAAGAGTTTCACGGGTTGAGGGCGGCCTCTTTCCAAAATGTGGTTCTCGCCTTCGCACCGCGCACATTTGATTTTAAAATGATAAGAAGTGTTGCGGTCCCGCATGGCTAGCGTACCAGAAACGGCACTGTGGAACAATTCAGAATTGTCAAGGCGCAACAGTTAGGTTGAATCGCGGTGTTGAAGTCCCAGGAAGGGCGTTCTGGCACGATTCAGGGTCGTCAAGACGCAACAGTCAGGTTTATTCGTGGCGTTGGAGTCCCGAGACTGGTGTTTCGCCACGCTTCAGGATCTTCAAGCGGTTGTCCCCCAACGGGGCATTTCCTTCAGTGGGAATGAATCCATGTAGTGGCCTATGAAGAGGGAGTTTGGAGAGGGGGGTTTGTCCCTTATTGGGTTTATTCCGGTCCTCATTGTCTTCCTCCCTTTCCCATACCTCCTCCTCTTCTTCCTCCTCATCCTCCTCCTCCCTCTCCTCTCCACCTCCCCCTCCTCCTCCTCCTCCTCCTCATCATCATCATCATCATCATCATCATCATCATAGTCATCATCATCATCATCATCCTCATCATCATCATCATCATCATCATCATCCTCTTCACCATCATCAGCATCGCCATCATCATAATCATCACCATCATCACGGCTCCGCGCGTGAAGCAAGCGGACCCCGTGTGAAGTTCAGATTTGTGTTCCCCAGGTGGGGTTGGAGCAGATGGGGTCGGAGGATCACGCAGCATCGCCGAGGCATCGGCGACGTGGTTCGAACTGTAGCCCGACGATCTCCACGCGGATGTCGCCGATGCATCGGCGATGCGTCGGCGATCCGGCGCGATCCGCCGACCCCATCTACCCGGACCCCATCTGGAAGGCCTCTCTCAGAGGGTGGCGCCTTGCTACAACGGCAGTTGGCCTTCGGGGGGGGGGCCTCGTCGCCGCGGCTGGACGCAGTTCCCACAATGGGAGTGGCGAGCTGAGATCACGGCAGTTGGCCTTGGGGGGGGGGGGGGGTGGCTCGCTCGTCGCGCGCCTGGAACGCAGTTCCCAAAATGGAGTGGCGAGCTGAGATAAGGGCAGTTGGCCTTGGGGGGGGGGGGCTCGTCGCCGCGCCTGGACGCAGTTCCCAAAATGGGAGTGGCGAGCTGAGATAAGGGCAGTTGGCCTTGGGGGGGGGGGGCTCGTCGCCGCGCCTGGACGCAGCAAGGAAGAATTGCCGGGGCGAGTTGGGGTAACAGCAGTCGGCCTTCGTCGCTGCGGCGTGACTGAGCTGGGGAGACTGGGCGTGGAGAGTTGACACGACGGCACTCGACGTTCGGGGTGTCACTCGTCGCCGCGGCTGAAGGCAGCTGGGAAAACAGGCGGGGTGAGCTGAGACAACGGTAGTTGACCTTCGGAGGGCCCCCACAGGTGGACGGAGCTCGGACAATTGGTGAGTTTGGACCGATTTCGAGTTGCCGTTGTCTCAACTTGCCCTGCTCCGACATGAGGGCTCTTCCCGGTTGACCGTCAAAAAGCGAGTCGGAATGAGGAGCCCGTCCTGGGGGAAGGCTTTGAGGTCCAGGGGCCGTTTCCCTCAGTACCCTTTTGCTGCATACCAGCGTTTCGGGAGGGAGGGGATGAAATGCGGGGTGGTTGGATGGGAACAAGACGGCGTGGCACGAGGGTGAGACATGCTCTGTTTCTTCTCCCTCGTGAGAATAATTCCCCTCCTCGCTCCCCTTCCCTTTTCCATCGTCCCCCCCTCCTTCCGCTGCACGCCCACCCCTCCTCACCACCCCCGCTGCTCCCCCTCCCAACCATGACCCCTCCCCAGCTCCATCCCTCCCTCTCTCGTTACGATCAAGCGAATAATCAGACGCTCGATCCCTCCTTGTGATATGTTCATGCTGAAATCGTTCATGGGCGCACTGCTTTCTGAAAGGCGCGGAGGTGCCTGGTCATGGTGCTCGTTCATGTCGGTGACATCCCCGTGGAGTTCAACGACAGATCGGCGGTAGTTATCAGAGCGAGGGGCCAAGCGGTCATTCATTCTCCTTGGTCGCGAGGCTGAGGTGGGCGGGTACCGCTGGTTCGGGATATAGATGGTGAGTGATACACAAGCATATGAAGATGAAAGTGAACAGTGTTTCAATGAGTGCCCAGTTCTCATTTCGAAAGAATAAGTACTGCTGATTCCCCCTCGGTGCAGGTTGTGCTGTTCAACTGGAGTGCTCCTCTCGCA